TTGTAGATATTAATATGGTACTAAGTAAATAAATTGTCGTTGTAGATATTAATTTAATTTATGTAACAATAGTAATAGAGTAGGGTTCTTACTTTTCATCAACAACAATGAAGTCATTGATCTTTTGATTTCCATTCGTTGTTGAGATGGATTGTTTTGCAAGTTTGTCAATGACAATACCTACAATTGCTGTCATAGAGGATGACAATAAATAATTAGTAAAATATGATTAGAATAGATATGGTTAAAATGTTGTAATAAAGATTAACTTACAGATTTCTTTTGACGTTTTCATGCATTCATAGAATTCTGAGAATGCTGTGAGCGCTTGTTTAATGGTAGGTAGGGGTGTGTCAGCATTGTCACTTGTTTGGACACTTGTCCGACCATTTAAAATACATGTATAATTGTATTTGTGGTCAAGTACTTTATAGTTCGCCCGAGCAGGTTTGACAATAGCATTTGAAATGATGTACCACTTGTTGGTCTTTAAAAGGAATAAGGTTCAAATTGACCACTGAACGTAACCTGAAAATGCAATTAGACCATTGAACGAAAAAAAAAAAAAAGTGCAATTAGGTCACTGAACACTCCAAAAACATGCAATTAGGCCACTGAACACTCTAAATGTATGCAATTTTACCGGATAGCATGTTACCATCAATTTTAGCAGGTTACATGCTTACGTGGCAGCTGAGTTGGCATTTTTAATAATTTTTAATAAATTTTAATAATAAATTTAAAAAATTGAAAAAAACAAATAAATAAAAAATAAAATAAAACGGCGAGGTGGCTGGCGTTTTTATTTAATTTAATTTTTTAAAAAAATTATTTTTAAAATTTATTAAAAATTATTAAAAATGCCAACTCAGCTGCCACGTAAGCAGGTAACCTGCTAAAATTGATGGTAACCTGCTATCAGGTGAAATTGCATACATTTGGAGTGTTCAGTGGTCTAATTGCACTTTTTTTTTTTCGTTCAGTGGCCTAATTGCATTTTCAGGTTACGTTCAGATGTCAATTTGAACATTATTCCTCTTTAAAATGATATTATACATTCTAATGTCATTATCATAAAAAACTATTGATTGAACCCGAGTTCCCTGCATATAATTTTGAATTCTATAAAGGTGTGTATTCTAAATTTAAGTTAGAATTATATAAACATTTGTATTTAAAAAAAAAAACGTATTAAGATTTTAAAATTTTATTAAGATTTTTTTAAGACATAAATCCTGACATGGGGAGAATAGTAAAAAAGTCAAACATACCGAAATAAACATAACGTCATATGAATATACTATTCGGCAGCTTGCAGCATAGTGTTGGGCCGATTGCACTTATTAAGACTTCAATTTCAAGATAGTTGGATTTATTGAACCAGAGTGAACACTCATAATGCTTGCACTTCATACATAACAGTATTCAAGTGGTTTCTATTAGTGCTTCGTGTTTTATAATTATAGATAGTTGAAAATATGAAAAGTAGATTAACAATTTATACATCAGACCATGTTCATGAAATAAATATTTGGCAGTGCAAGAGCTTGTAAAAGTGGACAAAATTGCAATAATGAATTCATTGGAAGCTGATGTCCATCAAAAAATGGGAGGAACAAGTGTTTCTTACATTTGCGCATAATATTAACAAGTAAATATTAAATGATAAAACACAATTTTTAAGAGCCAAACACCCCCCCCCCCGCCCCCCCCCCCCAAAAAAAAATAAAAAAATTCAGAGTAATAAATTAGAATATGAATACAATATAGTCTCAAATAGTCAAATATTGTTAAGGGATTTAAATTTCTAGAAAAGTGATAGCCTGATAGCTCCCCTAAATACAGAAGTTGATCTATTTCATAGAGCAAAAGATTTTGTAAAACCCACCACCAGGGGAAAATCATAAGCTAAAGAACCATTGGTGTGGAAGAAGAACATATGAAGAATACCCACTTGCTCAAATGGCTCTTAGAAGAACATATGAAGAATACCCACTTGCTCAAATGGCTCAAGTGCATAAAGTTTGTCTGTAATTCCTTTGCCTGATAAACAAATGGGAGAAGAAAAAGCAATGAGAATGCGCTTCAAAATACAACTTCTAATTGAAAATATAATGATCAGAACGGCCTTTCAATCTTCCAATAAGATGGAATAACACTAAGGGTTGGCGAAATGAACATAAGCATCCACAAAATGGTTACCTCAAGTCTTTTCTCCCAATCTGCCCCATAAAGGCTGCTTAGAATTGGACCAACCTTAGAGAATGAAATGAGGAAGTTCTTTGAAAAAGATCATCATTAAAAAATGTAAGAATTTAATATCAATCAAACAAATGGACAAACTAAAATAAATGCGCGTAGCCGCGTCAAGCAGATTAAAAAACAAAGCAAAAGACAAGTACACGTATGCACCCAACTGTGCCTAAAAAGTAAAAACTCAAAAACGAAAGCATCGAAGCAAATCAATTCAATAAACTCAAAAAAGAAAGCATCGAAACAAATCAATTCAATTTTCGTGCTTATAAAGTCCTGAGTGTTACATATGTACGGTGAAAAATCAAACTAAACAAACCAATAACAGATCTATCAACTCCGAAATGAGATCAACAAGTTTATATGAAAGAACTACACAAAGATCAAAAAACTTATACGAAAGAAAAAATTTCCGAAGAACTAAACAAGATCAGCAGTAGCTTATATGAAAGAACAAGGAACAGATACAGACGAGCATATACATAGATAAATTCAGTGATAAAGAGATGAAAAGAGAGTGGATTACCTTTCCACGGGAATCCACGGGCATGACTTTGCAGCTCTTCTGTTAATTAGTGATGATTTATCCCCCACTAACAGTTTCCTGCATTTTCTTCTTGCAGATTAAGAGAGAGATATCTATAATGAAGCTTTTCAGGCATCCATATGTTGTTCGTTTACATGAGGCATGAGCTAAAATAAGAGTATATGCCTTTTATTTACCCAAAAAGGGAGATTTTTCCAGTCACGTCAGACTTTTCTCGTTTCGGAGTTTTTTTAATACTTCGGTTCAAACTTTCTGTTGGCTAAAAATCATATGTTTTTGTCAGGTTATAGCAAGCCACACAAAGATTTATATTATTTTGGAATTCATAACAGGGGAGAACTTTTTGATAAAATAGTGAGCCCTTCAACTTTGAAGATTGTAGCTTTAAATATTGCAATCAAAGTTTTCATTGCAGTTAATTAGTTTGTTAGTACTCTTATATTCAGAAAAACTAACAAATTGTATACAGTTATCCAACCTTATGCACTCCTATCCAGTTGAATGGTACATGTAATTGTTAGCCGGTGAAACTCATAATTTGAAAAGGCTGGAAAGCAAGGTAGGACTAAAGACATCAAAATGAGTTAATTTTTTCAGAAAATACAAAAATGGCAAAATTGCAAAATTGCAGTTGGCATTTCCAATCTTTTACTGGAATTTTCCGTTAGTCAAAATTAAGCTGTAAAAGGGAATTTAAAAACAAGCAAAATCAAAAGGGAGCACAAATCACATCTGAAAATCCAGTCTTGATAAACAAAGCAACAAAAAATCAATGTACAATTGATGACCTAATGAGAAAAAATAAAATAAAAAGAACGAATGGAATTGAGAAACATTAGCTTGAATCTGAGAGCTTACCGAATTAAGAACTCAGGTAGAATTGAGTAGAACAGGATGAGCGTTTGCAGGAGCGAGGAGCGGAGCAAGAGGAAGGTTACTGAGGCAACAAGGAGCTTATATGGAATGGCTGAAATCCGTGAAGAGCAACTACGAATCGTGCATTAAGGAGCTCGAAACGGAGAAGATCAAAGATAAAGTGACGGAGGAGGTGACGCGGCTGATGCAGGAGATGGAGCCCATCTCTGAGATCGTCTTGGCTTTGTTCAATTTTGTTGTGCTTGTTGTGCCTCTCACGATCTCCTTCCTCTTCCTAACTCCGGCGGCAACAGACCATCCCCTCCTTTTCTCGATTTTGCTGTGCTTGTTGTGCTTTCCATTAAAACTACAAATTTGCCACCGCCAACTTTAGTTGACAGAAGCTGTTAAGTTTAACATTGTAAGAAGAATGATGGTATATTAGGGAGTTTTTTACACTTTTGGTCTCACGACTATAGTGACACTGACAGAATTGATCCACGACTTTTGAACCTTGTAATTTTAGTTCACGACTATTGATTTTTTTGTAAAAATGGTCCTTCCGTCAAAATTTCACCAGGAATTTTTTTTTTTTCCATTTTTAGCCGGGTTAAAATTGACATTTTACTTTTCCGATGTCTTCGGATGATCCGACAGACGTGCTGGCTCCGCCTCCAATGCTGCTGCCAACTAGCCCGGGGAACGCCACGGCCACTCCGCCGCTTACTGACAGCCATGCTTGCTCCAGGAACTCCGCCGCTTGGGGCAGTAGTATGTAGCCCAGTAATATTGTATGTAGTCAAATATCAATTTTTTTCTTTTAATTTTTTGAGATAAGTAAAATGTCAATTTTAACCCGGCTAAAAATGAAGAATTTTTTTTCCTGGTGAAATTTTGACGAAAAAGTGGCCGGAAGGATCATTTTTGCAAAAAAATCAATAGTCGTGGACTAAAATTGCAAGGTTCAAAAGTTGTGGATCAATTCTGCCAGTGCCACTATAGTCGTGGGACCAAAAGTGCAAAAAACTCGTATATTAGGATTTTAATTTGGTGATGTACAATTAAATGAGCATAAAATATGATCTTGTAGAGTATATATCGTTGTACCCATATTTTTTTAGTTCCCGTTAAGGGTCTAACAATATTCACTCTTATTAAAGTTGTATATGTACGTATGTATTGTAGATAGATAATAATAATAATAATAAATATTGAAGACAATTGAGAAGAATAATAAAGAAAATAATAAACTAATAAAAATATATTAACAGTAAATAAGAATAATACAGTACAAAATAAAATAAAAAGTATTCACAAATCACAACAAATACGGAGTAAGAAAGAAAACTAAACAAAATAGGAAATTAGGTTCCTGCCTTCTACAGTTCTACGTTCTACTCCTCCTCCGCAGACCGCAGCGACAACCGGCAGCAGCTCCGCCGTCGGCAAGCAGGCCCTCTGTATCTCCGTGATTCTTTCGGCAGCACGCAGCAGGCAGAAGCTCGCGAGCTGGGTTGACAGTTCACTGGTTCGTACCCTAAACCCTAAATCCCTAAATATTCGATTAGACTATTAGAATATTAGAATTTATTAGTAGATTTCCAAAGATTAATTTGCGAGATTTATTTATAATTGAATAATAGGCTAATAGTGAATTGTGATTTATGTGTATATTGGATGAACACAATTGGGCTTCTTTTCTTATGTGATATCAATATGGGGTTGGCCCTGTCTCCTTGATTTCATGACAGATGAACTCAATTTGGGCATAAAGATCGTTAGTTAGATAGTTTGTATGATAATGTGTTTGCCATCTGCTATTTTCTGGTTGTCTTATGGATTTAGGCATCCTGAATTTCATGAAAGGTTATAAATGGATTGTTGCTGTGACTGGAACAAGACTGGTTGCTGAATAGCTTTTAAATTATCTTTTCCCTTGGGATTTTAAGTTCTTTTTCTCCTGGTGAAGTACCTAAAATAGAATAATAGGATATTATATAATTGGAAATCAGAGCTGCTTAAATCAGGGGAGAGATTTGGCTTTCCTGATTTCTTAATTAATTATGAGTTCATTCTTTTGTTGCATTTGAAAAGTTCATACCAAGTAAACATAAGATGCTGATATGGTCTATTTAACTCAGGTGTACCATGTGATAACTAAGATAGGATGCCAGAGTTTGAGTAGTTTTAGTTACAATCAATTATGGCTAAAATAAAATATCTAATTTTCTTTAATTTTTTGACCCTAATCGAGATTTTTTCCAGCTCCTCCACTGTTTTTTTTTTTTTTTTTTAATCAAATTACAGTTGAATAATTTTTGGTGTAGGGAATTGTTGATTGAGGCAGAATGGTGGCTCCATCATCTGACTCTACATCACTGAATGAGTATCTGACAAAATATGAAAGTGGCTATGAAGAGGATGAAAAAGAAAGCTAAAACTGATGTCTCAGGTGTCATTATTGTTGATGAGGATCCTGTCTGGCAAAAACCAGTGAAAATTGACGAGGAAGGGGATGATGATATGTCACCACCACGGTGTAGACAAAAGCACTGCAACTCTCCTCCACATGACGTGGATCTACAAGCCTCTCCAAGGAAGTCACGATATCGGTCGCCTGTTATAGAACAGAGGCAAAAGACTGGTTTGGTTACTGGCAAGGATGTCAAGGATGAAATTGCTAAAACAAAGAAAGACGAGTGGTTGAGGTAATGTTTTCCCTTACATAGTAACCCCTTCTCTTTTGTTCCTTTCCACCTCTTGCACAAACTTGTATGTCAAGGGAAAAGTAATATCACTAAATTTTGGGATTGGAATTTCGGCCTGTCCCTTTGGTGAATGGATTGTCTTATGGGTCATCACTTAATCTAATGTTGTGGGTTTCTATTCTTATAGGTTTAAAGAGCTGGATGCTGTAGTTAGTGGCCGAGGTGCTGAACCAGTATATCGTGATAAAGTAACAGGTTAGGCAGAATAATGGAAACAAATTTTCACTTAACCATGTATTTTTGCGGTGTAATCTCACTTTTAAAAGCTGCAGGGGAACGGCTGTCAAAGGAAGAGTACTTGCAGTCTCAGAAAAAGAAAGAGAAGGAGAAGCCTAAGGTACTGTCCTTCTGTACTATAATATCACAGGATTGCATTATAGCATGGGACAGCATACACACTTCATTCATATATGATTAGATGCTGATCAATGAATATTTTTTTTACATTTCTATTTTCGGGGAGTTATTACACTGTTTCTTACTACTGCGAAGTACATATTTACTGGTTTTGGTTCTTGAAATTGTAACAAGCTATCCCTGGACAATTTCTGAGAAAGGGGCTTAGCTTGGCCCTACTCTAAGCCCTAAATCTGCAATCCTTATTATCAAACCTGCCACATGTATCTATGGGGTTATTAGTTCATTCGCTACACTAATGCACTCAAATATCATATATGTCACAGAGAACATATGGGTGAATTGTCTTTAAAAACCAAAGGAACCAAGGTGGACTTACTGCAAATTATAAGTTAGGTCATGGCAGATTTCACTAGTTATGCTTTGTCAACTATGGTTAGGTCCTGTAACTGTACATTATTTCTATCATTGGCATTGTTATTATATGACCAGATTTACCCAATATCAAGGAAAGTTGAAATAAATAGATGCAATTTATTGGCCAAAGAGGATGATTTTTGTTGTTCATATTAAGAATTACCTATACATTTGAATGAATGGCCCTCCTATTCAGCTAAAATAATTTGTTTTTCCTATCATTTACTCATCTATTATTGCATGTTCCTTTTGGTTTACTCTATTCATTAGATGATTTTACCATATGTTTTCAACAGGAAATAAAGCTGGAATGGGGTAAAGGTTTGGCTCAAAAACGTGAGATGGAGGCTAGGCTTAAAGAACTGGAAAGTGAGAAGGAGAAACCATTTGCACGGAGCAGGTAAAGTTCTAACCAGCATGCTTTTACTTGATAGTTTATTATTTTTCAGCGAACAATCCTTGTCATAAATTCAAAATTTCTTCTTCTAAATCCTTTACCTGTATGTCTGATGCACTTTTCTTTCCAGAGATGACCCTGAACTAGAATTGGCTGTTGCACTTTGCAGTCACATTAATTGATGATTTACCTGTTGAATGTTGCAGAAAAAGAGAGCGGAGCAGGTTTTGCCTGACATCGGTGCAGATGACAAAATGAAAGAATCTGGTTTCATAATTCCCCAAGAAATACCCCCTCACAGCTGGATACGTAGAGGCTTGGATGCAGCACCCAATCGCTGTGGTATCAAACCAGGACGGCACTGGGATGGGGTTGACCGCAGTAATGGTAATGTTCACTTCCATTGCTTACTGAATTTTATTGTTTCTACTTCATCATACAAAGTATGTCAGGGGAGTTAATATGCCAAAACCAACTGTCTAATGGATGCGTAATGTTTCTGCATTTTAATATATTAAACCCGAATTTGTTTATAATTACATTATGAATTTACTTGCAATATTTACTGTGCATTGCTACATCTTTTGTAGGTTATGAGAAACAAATGTTTAACCGTATGAATGAGAAGCAGGCGACCGAAAGAGAGGCATATCTTTGGTCTGTTGCTGACATGTGAGGCATCACTGTTACGCAATGTACAGTCATTTTTCAGGGCAACGGATTGCACAACTGATTTACTCATTTAGTTCTACCTGTGTATTAACAGTGTATGATGGTTATATACTTATTATTGAACATTTGGCTTAAACAAAGGTGTTCATATTCAAAGTGGGGTTGGGAATGGGGGATGTGTTAAAACATTAATAGATCGTTCTTATTTTGGTTCTATAGTTTATTCATGTAAGTTGCTTAGTAACTACTTTAATTCGTGTGTTTTTCGTTATATTCCACGATCGGTGAACCAGCTTGCCCATTCCACGGTCGGCGAACCAGCTTGGCTATGTGTTTGCTAAAGCGGTTGGTGCTAGATCTAGTCAAATGTATTGGGAGAGATCCCATCTTAACTCTATTCTTGATTTCTTCATTTAATTGACACACGCACACGCACACAATGTTTTAAAATCTCTCTCTATATATATATATATATTCTCCTTTTAAAAAAAATACAAATAAACATATTCTTCCTTTAAAAAAAATGTTTTAAAATCTCTCTAATTAATAAATTAACAATTAGTGTTTGGTTTGGAACAGGGTCGGAGGTGATCTCCTTTATTAGAGTAAAAGTTACAGAAATATATCTATTATAATTGTCTACTTTTGAAGTGGTTGGCATATTACTAACCATTTAACCTAATAGCAAAGATTACTAATTAATCACTCCTACTTACTTTCAAATTCAGTATCTCGATCTTCACCTAATTAATAATCACTTTACGGCATGCTCTTAGCCTATTAGGGTTGTTAACCACAATCATAATCTTGGCTTATCCAAATTAACTTTACCTTTTTATATCTAAAAATGAGTGCCTATCAATGCCCATTATTACCTCACCCATGTCTTATTGAAGATGGAAGTGGGAACCCATTCCATGCCAACTTTGTTTGTACCATATTTCATCCATACCATTCCATGTATGGCATTGTTTTAATCGTGCCGTACAATATCACTCTATACTTTTAATTAACAAAATATATTTAAATTAAAATATTGATATTATATAATATTATCAATTTTTACATGAGTACTATTGTCACATTTTTAGGTAACAAAAAATTCATAATTACTATCTAAGGATGTGCACTAGGTAAATCCCAACTTATAATTTTAGTCCGGACCATAAAGAAGTAAACTAGCCTAGATTGTTCATAATTGACCGGTTTAAATTAAAAAGGCCAACAGTTTAACTAAGTTGACTGAAGTCACACTTTTTTTGATTTATTTTTAAGGTTTATCATCAAAATAAGATGAGAAATGATACATATCCAAGATTCATATCATGAATATGATGGAGCTCATGCATTATTGTCCATGATCTTGCCATGAAATGCATAATTCCAAGGGTCAAATTAAATAGTTCCCAATGTATCAATAATACTAAACACACAACATACATACTGATATTATGCCAAGAAAAATGCATACATATTACAAAAAGATGTCAGCTCGAGTGAAAGAGACTTAACTTCCATATGTATGCATCAACACTCTTAATAGAGTTATTCCTAAATGAGCCCATGAAATGTGGATGCCAATATATATAATTTTAAAATTATCATTTATAAAAGATAATTAATCGCTACACAATAATCATAATGATCAAGAATTAAATACTCGGAAAAAATAATAAAATTTTAGGATATTGACAATGTTTTCACTGCCAACAATTAGAGTCAGTGTCTCCCCATTGCAAAGAGAAACATGTCTGGGCGTGTGTATTTTTTTTTACAATGTTTATTTTTTTGTTAGAAAAAGCAAAAAGTATATCATAGGAAATCAAAGTAATTTAATGAATAATAGGAAAAGAGTATGTGGGAGATAAAGGGTTTAACATGATCCCATAATAAAATGGAAAAAAAAAAGAGTACAAAAGTGAAAAGAACATCCATCATTCCCATTATATAAATTGAAATTGCATGGGGCAATCTTGTTACCATAACTTTTGTCGATAATCACTAAGAGTAAAGTCATTAGGAATTCATCACTATATCCCAATTAAACAATTAAGGAGTAAATTTTTGTTGCAATATGTATAATTCTCTGTTTTTTTTTATCTATTATATTTTGGGTTTAAATATCAATTCAATCCTTATTTACTTATTTACTTTTATTCTTTTATATTAATAATAAATAGGGGCTAATATAATGACATTTTATTTTAAGTTGAGCTTTGATTTTAAAGGTCTAGTTACATTTTGGGTCGCCCGATGACGTTATTCTAGGGGTTGAAAAGAAAAGAGAGTCACGCTAAGCCAAAATACGTGGAGAGGGTCATGTCATACCCACACTCTACCTTACATGTTGGGTCTTTTGGGCCATCTAGTTTCAGGGCGAGTTTGCTCACATCGTTCCCACTTGTCGGCTCGGCTTGGTAGGCCCTTGAGGATTGGATGCTTTGAATCAAAATAAAAAGAAGAGTGAATTCCATTTTTGGTCCTAGTGTTATATGAGCGTTTCCAATTTCAGTCCACTTTAATTTTTTTTGCCACTTTACAACCACTGTTATTGAATGTGTTCCACTTTTAGTCCACCGTTAATATTTCCGTCAAGAGGTCGTATAATCAAAGGGTATTTTGGTCTTTTTATGTTTGTCTCTTCTCTTTTAATCCAGGCGCTTCGTCCTCCTCCTCCGATATTCGAAGATGGCTCTTCGAACAACGAGAATGGGAAGCCAAAGCTACATCGTTTCGTTCGTTCCAACATGGGCCGGCGTTTCTTAGGTTTTAGGTTTAATGTTCTCATTTCTTTAGTCAAACATAGTCTTGGATGAGAAGAAATGTCAAAATACCCCTAGATTACACGGCCTCTTGATGGAAATACTAACAGTGGGACTAAAAGTGGAACACATTCAATAATAGTGGTTATAAAATGGCAAAAAAAAAATTAAGATGGACTAAAATTGGAAACACCCCTATAATAGTAAGACCAAAAATGGAATTCACTCTAAAAAGAAGAACAAAAGAGAAAAAAAATGGAGAAAAGATAACAAAATGAAGAAAGGAAATTCATTTGCTTGCTTAGCTTAAAGTATTGTGTGTGAGAGGTGTGTCCCTTGGTACTTTATCTTAACCTTTTGGGGGATTTTGTCTTTCTAAACATCTCTTGAATTGGGTATGTCACATATGGTCTGCCACATTGGCTTGATAATAGGAAGGATGCCATTCATTTGATTCTTGTGCATAACTTTGCATTGATTGACCATTTGATTGTTAAGTATCTCTTGAGCTACCTTTTGGCACTTATAGTTTGATTTGATTGATAGCTTTCTTGGGGACAAGCAAGAATAAAGTGTGGAAACTTGTGATAAGTGTCAAAATGTGCTACTTTATGAGGTGTTTGAGTGGCCTTCATTGCATTAATTGAGTCCCTTTGGGGTGAATTGTGTGTTTGATTGATCTATTTTCATACTAATTGCATTTGGGGACTAACATTGAATATTGGAAGACATTTGAGTGGTTTAAAGGTAAATGGGGGCAATAAAAGGGCAAAATAGGAAAAGCAGGAAAAATTGTATTGTGTACTCCTGCATGTACGCTCGTACATGTGCTCGTACGTGAGGAGAAATCAGGCCGGATCACGACCGTGGCTCAGCAACTTAAAGGGGCGCGTACGCTCGTACACGAGTGCATACACACCCCAGTTTTTAGCCTTTAAATATGGATGCTTGGCGGTATTGTTTAGGGAGTGAGCATCATTTTCATAGTTTAGATCAGTTTTTAGAGATATTTCTCTCTCTAGATTAGGTCTAGATTGAACTAGTCACTTTACATTTCTTCAATTCCTAGAGTGAGAAGAGATCTAGAGTTGTGGAAAATTGACAACTCTCCTTGATTGTTGAGATTTTCTTTCCAACATTGTTGAATTGAGATTGCAATTGTGGATTCAAGTTTGGTAACACTTCCTAATTCATCTTTAATTTCATATCTTGATTTCTCCATTACATCTTCTATATTGATAGACTTAATTTCTTACATTTGTGATTGGAATTCATGATGATTAGTGGCTAGAATACCTAGGAGTTGGATTTGATGAACTAGAGATTATGCATGCTTGATCTTTCCATAATTGTAGAGATGAGATGTGTGCAATTATGTTTTAGAATGCTTTTGTTGTGAATGATGTTGTGTGTTGATCCTTTCCTCATTTCTGACCGAATGAGTGATGAGTATGAGGGAGTGGAATTGGAAAGAGATTGCAATTCCACGGAGTCCTACATATTTTCATTCCTCGTCCTTCGATCCGAGAGGGCAAGGCTCGGGAGGAGGCGTAAGCTAGATGTTTTATGAAATTCCTTAGTCACATTAAGGTGTGGTCTAAGAGTCTAAGCACGGAATGGCTTAGTGTATGCATAACGGCTCCCGAAAGTTAGACATGATTGGCATTACCTCAAGTCCACTGTAGCCTAATGCATGCAAAAGATCTAGTGATTCAATCCAACTCCCTGCATTACTTTTCTTGTTCTTGCTTTACTTCTACGCTTGCTCTTTAGAATTACATTTTTGCAAATGTTGTCATTTACACCTAGCTATCTCTTGTTGAAACTCTCCCCTTGAAAGCATTGCACTTGACTCACTCCAATTTGTCATCCTTTGAGAACGACATCCCGAGAATCTTCATTCCCAACCTACTTTCCTTCCACTGCAAAATTATATCGATCAAGAAGGAATACAATGTACATTGGCCGGAAATAGGATATTGAAATTGAATGCCATAGACATGACAAAAGTGGCCCGGTTGAGAAGCTTACCAGTGTTGGGGGGACTTTACTTTGATTGGCCATTGCTTGACTCGTTTGGGTGCCACGAGGGGGTACAATGCTTGATCTCACACACCCAATGGGCAAAAATCTTTGAATAGAGAGGGGATACCTATGCCCATTTGGTTAATGAATTCGTGGCTACGCTCAACACATGGAAGGAGAGGTACAATGACAAGCCATCCATCTCATTCACCCTTTTCAACAAAGAACATAAAATCTCGGTGAATGAGTTGAGAGTTCTTTTGGGCTTATACACCGAAGGGGAGCAAAGAACCTCAGACTACTTGGGCTACCGGACCAACTTTTACAATGATAGGGAGGTCACAACTTATTGG